TTTAATAGTCTCATATTCTTTCATTCTTATTAATTCAAACTCTCATCTTAGAGAATGAAGTTTAACATTGTGTATACCTGGTCACTTCCTTTAAACTCCTTTTGTATTGTGTTCCAAGATTGTTTTGCACTTGTGACATCAATTATTCTTGAAAAATTGTGTCATCAACGACTTGTTGAACAAAAAATAAAGTCTTTGAATCCTTCTGCTTGTTTTCCTTCAACTCCTTCTTTTGAGTTATAGTAAGAGTGAAAGTGTCTTCTGGAATTGGAATAGTGAATCCCTCTTCTATATTAATATCTTATAAATCTTGAGAGCAAAAGAATGTCTTAATTTTAACATTCCAAAAATCATAATTTTTTACTATGAAAATAGGTACTAGAATTTATGATGTTTTATTGGTAGTAGTCATAAGTTTGGAAAATATTTTAGAAGTAATATAGAATGAAGATATGAATTTTATGTTTAACATAGTTGAAATTTTTTATCTATGCCTAGTAAATCACTCAACTTAGCTTTGGTACCACTATTAGTATTTTGAGGTTATGAAAGGAATAGTTGAAGAGGTAGAAAAAATATGGAAATAGTAAAATGTGAAAATAATAATTGGAAGAAATGTATTTTATTGTTGTCTTAAGCACAATTTATGTGGAATTATCTAAATTTTTACCAACAATGTTCTTTCTTATCTTAAACTTTTCTACAATATTTTTAGAATTTACATTAATTTCAATACTTTTAAGATTTTTTGTATTCTTTTAAAGTTTGCATCAGAATTTAATATACATACATGTTTAGTTTATAAGATCCCCATGACTCATTTTTAAACATTTCTACCGATTATTGTTTGCTTATTAATCACCTTTTTCTACACTATTTGCAGAGCAAGAAACTAACAGGTGTTATCTTCCTGGACTGTGGGTCTGACCTGTGGAGTAGTGATAAAGTTCCAAGTGAGTTTCCTTAATCATTCAGAAATCCAACCTCCAAGTTTATCAACGCAAAAGTTTGGCCACAATAAGCCATGTTAGCATTCTTAGTAGCCTTTCGTTCTGTTTTGACCATTTAAAATTCTATCTCCAAACAAGACAAGATTGTATTCCTATCTCTATTGGATACTAATTAAGTTAATCTTTTTCTTGTCCCTCACCTTTGCCATTACCATGACTTGTTTAACTCTTAAGATGTGTAACCGGTGTATAGCAGGCACGTAGCAGGTGTAGCAGTGATATAGTGATAGAGGTCTCAGGTTTTAGATTAACCAATGCAATATTGTTATTCTACTTCAGGTCTTAGATTAATCGATATATATAACGTTATACGCTTCAGTTCTCACGTAGGAGAAACCTATAACGTAACCGAAGCCTATACCGTGAGTTAAAAATCACATTTTTTTTACTAGTGATTGTTACTTTTAATTGCAGATAATCCGAGAGAGAGACATGGTAAGCCAGGATTTGGGTATGGAATTGGGGTTGGCATTCGATTCAAAACCCTCTTGGCTCAGATACAAGTTGATTATGCTATTAATGCCTTTCAAGAAGGAACTGCATATTTCGGAATTAGCGATTTGCTACTATAAAAGCTGACACTGCTTAATTTGGCAGTTTTTGTCTAGGCTTCTTCAATTTTCAATTTCATCATAAAAGGTGATACAAATAGACATGTCAAAATCCCTCTACACACCATTCCTATGGATTTTCAATGGCTTAATTACCTACTTAGTCCCCATGTTATGAGGTAATTTTCTGTTTAGTACCCGGTTTTAAAAATGTAGGCATTTGGTACCTATATTTTGAAATTTGTATCAATTCAATCCTATCCAGTTAACGGCGTTATAATTGATGCGAGAAATTAAGGACGTTAATGAAGATGCATTCAAACATTTGATAGCTATTCCACCCAGGCTATCATTAACGTCCTTAATTTCTCGCATCAATTATAACGCCGTTAACTGGATAGGATTGAATTGATACAAATTTCAAAACATAGGTATCAAATGCCTACATTTTTAAAACTGGGTACTAAACAGAAAATTACCTCCTAACATGGGGACTAAGTAGGTAATTAAGCCATTTTCAATCTAGTTAGGTGAAAAAATATATTTCAATTTTTTAAATATAGATCAAAGTTTATTTAAAACCTAAAAGTTAATCTGGTTCAAGATTGTTTGATAATCTGGTTCAAAATTGGTTGATTGGTATATACTGCGGACAATTCTTTATAATTTTTTTATTAGTGTTTCATCACTTATTTATCAATTATGTAGATTGATATTTTTTTTAAAAAAATTATAATGTTATTCATGAATGACTTTTTCTAATGATGTAAGCTGACACTTTACATTTTAATTAGTATTTTTATGATAGTGTTTGATAAAATAAGTATTATATTTGTACTATTAGAACTAAATAAATTCAATCAATTCATTTATATATTATAATAAATATGTAAAATAAATTAAAAAAATTAAAATATATTTCAGTTATAAGAATCTATATAGAGTATTAAACAAGAATATAATACTTAGAAGTAAAATTTGTTTAAATACAAATAACATTTTGATAGAATGAAAACATAATCCACTTAAATTTTGAGTTAAATATTAATGTTTAAGATTGAATATCCAAACATGTTTAGTCACTAAGTCTTTGACGTAATAAATAATCTAAAATATTAATATAACGCTCTAAATGTCATGAAATAATATATAATTATCTAATATGTAAAACGTTTAATGCATAAACATACAAGGTGTCACATGATCATTTAAAAATATGAAACAAACAAGACAGTACAAAAGTTTTGTAAACTGTCACTAAATTGCTATTCCAGGGGTTACTAAAAACTCCAGGTAATCTAGCTACATTGACTCTTCCAAGAAAATAACAAACCGCATAAAACACTGTTAACAAGGTTAAACCCCATAGATGCAAAATATAACCCTAAAAAAAACATTTATTTTTATAATGATTATTTCCTTTTCAACATGTTTTTTAGCGTTTAAATAGAATACTTAGTTTCAAACATGTGTTTCTTTGGTGATTATAAGACTCGCCATATATAAGAAATTTCTGATCTTTTAAAATTTTATTTTTTATAATTTTCATATTAAGTATTAAGAATATTTGTGAGAACATTAAAAATTATTCATAAGGTATATTGGTAAAATGCGTGATTATGTTAGAAGTATATATATGGAAAAAGAGTAGAAGTTAAATAGTCTATTTATATATATATATAATTTGGACATCTAGTTTTAAATTTATAAAAACATATTAAATTTAAGTGCACACTTTACGACAATATTAAGTTTTAATGGATAGTGAGAATTTCAACTTTTTTATTGTGAAACTGTTTTTGGAACCAAGATTAGGAGAAAAAACAAGATCCACCTTCCATTTTCTGAGCCTGGAAACAAGGGGAAAAAATGAACAGTAGTTGTCTACAGTATTTATGGTAGAAACTGTGTGTTTTCAAAACACTAGTTGTACATTGACACCTCAATGGTCTCAGTCTTACTGATAACAAAAGCGTAATTAATTACATTACAGTGTTTACAGTAACAGACCTCGCATCGTATATAAACCTCTCATTCACTCTTTTCTTTCTACCTCACTTTTTCTCCGCTTAATATCGAGTTTTTGTTTGAAGACAAAGAGGTTCTCGAATCTTCTTCTTCTTCGTCATCTTCCTCCTAATCCTCTTCCCTTCGTTTTCAGATCTGAATTTTCCTCATGTATTCTCTTATCGTTTTCCTTTAATTAATTATTGTTTTTATTTATTATACTTATTTCCGCCAGGAAACGGATTGGGAGAACTTGCGACGGTTTTAGAAATTTGTGATCTGCTGAGCCATGAATGCTAGAAGGTTAGTGTGAACTAAATTCATGTTCTCTCTCTTTTATATGTTCTGGAAAAAGTGTCGGTCGTTACTCGATTCGGTTACGATGGGAAATTGTTGTTAGATCCGTGAATACGACGACGTCGTAGGAGGCTTTGGATTTTCTATCTCGCGCTGGTTTGAATCGATCGATGAGTCTGGTTTATCGGTGAATTGCTGTTTGTAGCTTTGGTTCTTGTTACATATTGGAGTAGTTTTTCCTTTTGTGAATTGGTTTTGCGTTGGAGGAGGATGGAGGACTGGGGAATTTTGGATGCGTTTTAGTGTGGGTTCTTTCATTGATCTCAAAATAGACTTTTGTTATGATTCCTTCACCTTCCAATTGGAATAAGAATTGCTTTGATCCTGAGATCAGTGATGACTGAGTTATCTCTGGCGTGTAGATTCCTGTAACAAATATGAGGGGAGATGCTTTCCTAGTTTCGCATCTCGGCATATACTTCCTCGAACGAGTTACAATCCTTTGCAGTATTTTATTCGTGTTAGATGAACAATCTTTTATTTTTCTTGTCTATGTAAGTCATTATATGTGTTGGAGCCTTCGTGTGGACATTTTTGTTTGAGTCCAATTGAATGTGAGAGAAAAGATAGATTGGGTAACATATCTGTTTCCATGGATACTGGAATGGCGAATGTGGTTGCTGCTCACTGGGAATCGAATTTTATGCATGTATTCATGTGTATTCAATAAGTTATGCTGAAGTTGTGGTGGAATAATGGATATGAGTGTGCAACATAATAGAGAAAGATATTCTGCTGTTATATTTGTTTAGAAAATATCGAGTACTATTTACTTCCGAGGATAAGGGAAGTTAATAAAAGATTTTATCCCTCATTATTTGTAGAAAATTATTTCTGCTGCACTAGTCCTATCTTTTATTTGATCAGTTCTTAGGGTTATTTGGTCGCTGTTTATAATTTCATTTTTTTAGAAATGCTTTAAGTGTATGATATATCTTTCCCCCTGAAACAAGCAATGCAGAGACAGCCTTTATTTCAAACTTCCTTATGATTTAATTCAATTTATGTATCTAGAATCCTTGATGCTTTATGCGCTTATGGAAACGTCATATAAGTGAAAACAATCTTGCTTGTGTATTATCTGACCATCTGGCTCATATCACCATATTGTATATTATTATTTTTTTCTGTTTCAGAGATGGCCGTAATAACAGAGTTGCACTTTTTGATGGTATTGAGGAGGGTGGCATCAGAGCATCGTCTATTTACTCAACTTCTTCCCATGAAATTGATGAACATGATAACGAACAAGCATTGGATGGATTGCAAGATAGAGTCAGTCTGCTGAAAAGAGTAAGTTTACTACTGCTTGACTGTCATGTTATCTTTTCTGTTCGAACTGAAAGGTAAATGCACGAATTGCAATCTGCCGGATTGGAATTGGAACTTTTTTTTGGAATATATATTATGCATTAAAGCTCAGAGCTCTTCCTTCGTTCGTTGCTTTAATTAATTTCATTTTTCAAGTTTTGTTATCTTTCATTCTTCACCGAATCATATGGTTGACCCAATTATTCTTACTTCTCTATCTATTACGGTGTAAATGTGCCCGTTCCATTTAGTGGAGTATTATAATACTATGTGGATCCTTGTCTTCTTGAAAACCCTGCATAAGGAGTATTTAAAGACCTGAATCCATATCCTGTAAATTTATTAACAATGTGCAATTTTGTGATAGTTTTAAAATCTTTTTCTTTATCAACTATAACTATAACTATAAAGTTTTAACGAGCATAGTTTCTACAGTTGTCAGGTGACATAAATGAGGAAGTGGATAGTCATAACCGGATGTTGGATCGTATGGTACGTACTAGCAATTATTGAAAATATCTGCGTTTTCTCTGCTATATCACGTTATCCGCTGGTAACCTGTTGGCATTTTATATAGGGAAACGATATGGATTCTTCGAGAGGAGTCCTCTCAGGCACTATGGATAAATTCAAAATGGTATGTGAACTGTCTTGTTTACTTTTTGTTCAATACATTTGTTGTCTTTTCCATTTCTTCTGATTCGGGATGGTGTCAGTAGATGGTGGTAGGGGTTTTTACTTAAGGGTATTTCTTCCCCTATCAGGATCCAGTATATTGTGTCTTTTTTTTATGTTGGGTACTCTTAGGTATTTGAAACAAATCCAGCCGAAGAAATGTTTTCTCTGTAGCATCCTTGTTGTGCTTTTTCTATATATATATTATCTTACTAGGTAATTGATCTTTCCCTCAGTTGTCAGCAATATGTTAGATCGGAAAAGAAGCTATTTGCTCTATTGCCTCTAATTAGCTATACTGCGTGTAAGATGTTCCTTTGTGTTTGTATAAGATTTTGCGTTTCATTTTATCACCCGGTAATGTCAATATCGCGTTTGTATACCAAAAAATATCCTTCCCTTTGATTAGATTATGTACAATTCACCTATTTTATAGAAGATTCGTACTTTATTGGATGAACGTAATATTTCCATAATTGTTGACGAAATCGGTCTAACAGGAACTAGGACATTTGTTTGCTTATGGTATAGTCTCCTCCTAATTGACGTGTGGCCATCTGAATGAACTAAACCAGTTGAATGATGTTGAACGAAAACTGACCTATATGATTGAACGTCTATTTATTAGTTTTTATATTTATATACGTTTTATGTTGAATTAGTTTCATCACTTTTTAGCTTTGATGTAATGTATTCAAGTGGTTTGAATCGAAATGAAATCTAGCAGTTCAAGATCACCGTTTGTTTTTTGGCCATGTATAGTTGCTATATTGTGCTGAAGTCACTTTTTGCCGTTGCCGTATTAAATTTAGCTTATATGTACGCTCTCTAATTCTTTAAATTATATTACTTACGAATGTTTTCAACAATGTTGTTTATGGCAGAAAGGGTAATCTTTGAAACCCTTAACTCCCAGTTATCTTCACACCGTCCACGGTACTTGACCAAAATAGTAAAGATTACCCAAACATTGCATGAAATGGATTAATGGTATTGCTGATAGATGTGAAAACTGTGTACGCTCCCTATAAAAACAATTAAACCAACCTTATTAATGCAAACTTTTATGACTGCCTAGTTCTTTTGTTTGAACATGGTCCTGAAGGTGGAAGATATGTGACCAATAACTATCAAATTTATTATTTAATAACGTATTAGAATTTGTAAAATTCTACTCTGAATCAACGTCTGTATTCACCAACACACATTGGGAGATGCAATTGAACAAGTGTCATCAAAACTGTAACTGCCTTGGGGCACTGAGAGTTCGAGATACGAAACTTAATTGAAAATACTATATGGAGCGTGGGAGAATAGAGGTGGCTTGATTTCCCAAGATTGTCCAGAGTCGAGGGTTGCACTGACAAAAACAATATTTCTTTACTTTAACAAAAATAGTACATATTAAATAATAGGGTAAATAAATATTGCTATATTTTATTTTTTAGTATTGTATAAATATTACAGTTTTAGTATAAAAATTTAGTTTTGGTAGTTTTATTAGAACTCTATTATTAATGATTAATATGTGTTTGGTCTTCAATAATCATTACGCGTGTTTATTAAAAACAAAAATCAAATTATATTAGATTAACTTTGAGAAACCACTAAGTATTTAAATTTACAAACTAAAAAGCAAATGAAAAAGTCTTACGTTTTATGTTGTGTACTCATCTGAAATATGAAATCTAAGTAAACAAGTAAAAACTCTGCCTCATTAACGAGAATCACATAAAATGCCCGTTGCTCCAAATCAATTGTAAATTGTGCCGAAAAATACTACACTTCATATTTTAATCATCTTAACCACCATTGCAATTCATTTTACTTGTATTTCTGCACAACCTTACCTCTTTAGCAAATTGTGTGAAATCGTAAACAAATGCTTCTAACATGAAATATTATCTTGTTAATAGTAGGAACCTAGGATTCCTTACTAGTTTTTTTCAAAAGATTTTTGAATGGACGAATCCTCGCTCAATATCCCTGAGTTCTCTCTTTATACTGGTTGGAGAATGGTCATCCACCTCGCGCTAGAGCTACGGTAATTTTATATCAGACGGACTTTACCTTCCTTTCTCTATATTAAATTAAGGGAATTTTATTTAGTTCATACTACTAATGCACATTCTATTACATTTCAACATTGTAACGCTTTGTCTCTGTATGCTACCCGCTCGTTATGAACACCCGCTCTTCTTCGTACTCAATTGGCATCAATGACCCCTGTGTCGTATACTCTCGGAATATCACACGTCTCCACGGGTAAACAGTAATTCATTTCATGCGACCGATGATCAACCCTAATATGTTAGAATAAGTATATTAGAAAAAAAAACAGTATTAGCAACATGTTCACATGTTATTAAAATTGCATCAGAGAAAAGAAAATCTTGTAATAGGAAATAAAGACTAACCTTTTATTACTCATATGTAATCTAATAGATTAGCTAAGAAACACGTATATGACTATAATTCGTTCTAAACTAGGACTCTTACTCGTGCAACCAAGATGGGTTCTTACTCTTATGACTGATTGATATTAATTGACAAATCAAATTTTCAATCATTGGAAACTTGACAAACACTATATTTTCGTCATCATTTTGCCTCTCAACAATATTAACAAGGATTGAACTTGAATTAGTTCTAGTAAATAATGAAATTTAAGTTATTATAATTTTTGGATATAAGTTTTGTTTTTACAAGAATTTGAATGTGGACTTTGGATAGGTGGCATGATTTGAATCATTCAAAAGTTTCTGATGTATGTTTTTAAGGGTTGGGACATAAAAGAATATTCATTTCAAAAGACTTTTGATGCTCAAGTGTGTGTAAACAAGTTGAGATCTTGTGAATAGAGAAAATGAGTAGAGGGTGAATGAGTTTCTTTGAGAAACAGCAATTGTATTTCTAGGAGTTTTTGGGTCTTTGATAAGGTTTGTGTTATACGGGAGTAGACGCAGACACTTCTAGAGTTGTGTAGATGACAAGAGAGGGGACTACCAATGAGTGTTTTTTTTAAAGTTTAATTAGTTTACTTTGTTTGCGATTAATAAATTTGAATTTGACATTGCATTTTTCATTTCGATTATGAATATTGATAATTTCGAAATTGTAATAAGTTAATTTTTTCGGAAATTTTAATTATGTTTGAAAAAAATTTAGCCTTTGGTGCACTTAAGTGACTCCCAGAATTGAGATGTTACAACAACAATCAACAAAATCATACATTATAGTTATACAACAAAAACTAGACGAGCTCACTCTCCAAGACCCCCAAATTTTTTTCGAAAATCTGGCTAATACCAAAATGTAACACTCAGTTTTAGGATGTCACAAGTGGTGATAAAAGTTTAAAATATTAATTTGAAACTTTACTCATGTGAATTAACAATATTAAATAAAAAATTTATTAATTAAACATGCAGAATTAAAATAAACACATAAACTATTCAAATAGAATATTCGTTTAAATTATTTTCAAATTGTATTAAATAAAAGACATTAATAAAACCTAAGTTTTCCCCATCCACTCGTGTCTTTATACTGCATCAGAGACACTTACAATATCATATGCTCCCGTATAACTAAAGAGTGATATAATCATCGCACAATCACAAACACAACAAACATGGGTAAGTTACAACTAAAATAATCCAGCTCAAAAATGAGAACAGTAATAAACATAACATATTAAACCAAACATCCAAACAACATCACCATCACCAATCACATAGGACAATTGTGTATCTCCTGTACTTTACCATAAACACGTGTTCTTCCAAATAGGATGGTTCTAGTTGTCTTTCCCTCCTGACTAAAGGACCTATTTCCTTTCTCCTCAAGGACTTACGATTAAAAACATCATTGCATCGCACACTAAGAATTATACTTAGCAACAAGATAAAGTCAAGGCGAAATATCATCCTCCTTTCCTCTGTCTTGCATAGGCGAGAGGATCCAACATTCAAACCCATCATCTTCCCAACTCAAGATTTACTACCAGGGTGTCCCGAATTTCCTTTACTCCTTGATAAGAGTGAACTTTTCTATATTCTTCCAAAGAGATAGCACACATCAGCAAGTTGCGAGCCTTGAAGTTTAGTAGGTATCATTGTTTATTCTCATTTTTCCATTTGCTCATTGCAAGTGAATTACCTAAAAATACTAGAAGGAGTTGAATAGTGTTAATGGAAAAATTATTTTCGCAACCCTTCTGTATAGCACGTTTGTCGAGTTTTGGATTTGTTAAATGAATGCTTAAACTCTTGACTTGTAAAGGATAATAAAAGATAGTTACTTTCAACGTACTACTCACTATAATGTTTGTAAGAATTTCCTCTATTTAAGAGTAATCGTTTAGTGAAAATATTCTTGTATTTAGAAATAAAAATGAAGTTGCAGGTTTTATAAGAGAAGCGTTTAGATAACAAATAAATAACAATTGAACAAATATTTTATACTGGTTCATTCGAATTGAGTTACGTTCAACCTCATCTGTAGAGGGTTTCACTATAATCTTTAACAAGATTACAAATGAGTATTCGCACCACTCATTTGTTACCTTAGACTAGATGAGTATTGTTACCACTCTTGGTCTCTTCAGTCAGCCAATAACCTCCTATTACTCGAGACTAGATGAGTATTCTGGTACTAAGCAACATTGCCTACATTTCCTTAACTCAACTGAGTTCAACAAGTGTTTTAATTCTCTTCAGAATTGTAATCAACGATTGCTTACAAGTCGTTCAGACTATTACTTGCAGAGAGGATTTGATTACAACTTAAGCTAGGGTTAGGAGATTGGAAGAAGAAGAAAAACTTCAGGACTTCCCTCTTGTGAAAGATGGTGTTTTCAATATTGTTTCTTGCTTTCTCTTCTTTTGTTTTTTTGGGCTTGTATTTTGGCCAAGTTTATCTTGCTTTTCCTAGACTTGCTTTCAATGTCAGGTTTTTCCATAATTCAACTATACCAACTTATAGGTCAAAAAGATATGTGTTTATATTCAATGGAAAACTCATTGAGTCTAGCTTCCAACAAAAAATAATCATCTCATTTGGAGCTCTATGGAGAAAGTTACGGGTAAAACACTTAACAAAGGTCATAATTGACAAGATGATGTCTTGAATGAGTTTTGGGCTTGTTTCTTGAGTTAGGCTTGCATTAGACATGATCATTGGGCCTTAATTAGGATATTATCACCTAAATGGGTTTGGAAGGAGTCAACATCAAGAATGACTCCTTATTTAATGCTTTGACTAGTTAGTTACAAGCATAGGCTCCTCATTTAATGATGGAGAATGCTTTGACTAGTTAGTGTACAAGCATAGGTTTCTCATTTTATACTTTTATGCTCCTTAAGACTACTTGGACTCTAGGTTCCTTCTCCCTTCACCTATAAAA